TAGGGACTCACACCCCAGATCCACACACACACACCAGGCAGCGTAGGGACTCACACCCCAGGCCCCACACACACACACCAGGCAGCGTAGGGACTCACACCCCAGGCCCCCCACACACACCAGGCAGCGTAGGGACTCGCACCCCAGGCCCCCCCCACACACCAGGCAGGGTAGGGACTCACACCCCAGACCCCCCCCCCCCCACACACCAGGCAGCGTAGGCACTCGCACCCCAGGCCCCCCACATACACCAGGCAGCGTAGGGACTCACACCCCAGATCCACACACACACACCAGGCAGCGTAGGGACTCGCACCCCAGGCCCCCACACACACACCAGGCAGCGTAGGGACTCGCACCCCAGGCCCCCACACACACACACCAGGCACCGTAGGGACTCACACCCCAGATCCACACACACACACCAGGCAGTGTAGGGACTTGCACCCCAGGCCCCACACACACACACACCAGGCAGCGTAGGGACTCGCACCCCAGGTCCCACACACACACCAGGCAGCGTAGGGACTCACACCCCAGGCCCACACACACACACACCAGGCAGCGTAGGGACTCACACCCCAGGTCCCACACACACACCAGGCAGCGTAGGGACTCACACCCCAGGCCCCCCACACACACACACCAGGCAGCGTAGGGACTCGCACCCCAGGCCCCCCCCACACACACACCAGGCAGCGTAGGGACTCCCACCCCAGGCCCCCCCACACACACACCAGGCAGCGTAGGGACTCACACACCAGGCAGCGTAGGGACTCGCACCCCAGGCCCCCCCCACACACACACCAGGCAGCGTAGGGACTCCCACCCCAGGCCCCCACACACACACCAGGCAGCGTAGGGACTCACAACCCAGGCCCCCCCACACACACACCAGGCAGCGTAGGGACTCACACACCAGGCAGCGTAGGCACTCGCACCCCAGGCCCCCCCCACACACACACCAGGCAGCGTAGGGACTCACACACCAGGCAGCGTAGGGACTCGCACCCCAGGCCCCCCACACACACACAAGGCAGCGTAGGGACTCGCACCCCAGACCCCCCCCACACACACACCAGGCAGCGTAGGGACTCACACCCCAGGCCCCCCCCATACACACCAGGCAGCGTAGGGACTCACACCCCAGGCCCACACACACACACACCAGGCAGCGTAGGGACTCGCACCCCAGGCCCCCACACACACACTAGGCAGCGTAGGGACTCGCACCCCAGGCCCCCCCCCCCCACACCAGGCAGCGTAGGGACTCACACCCCAGGCCCCCCCCACACACACACCAGGCAGCGTAGGGACTCACACCCCAGGCCCCCCCCATACACACCAGGCAGCGTAGGGGCTCACACCCCAGGCCCCCCCCCACACACACCAGGCAGCGTAGGGACTCACACCCCAGGCCCCACACACACACCAGGCAGCGTAGGGACTCGCACCCCAGGCCCCACACACACACCAGGCAGCGTAGGGACTCACACCCCAGGCCCCCCCCCACACACCAGGCAGCGTAGGGACTCGCACCCCAGTCCCCCCACACACACACCAGGCAGCGTAGGGACTCGCACCCCAGGCCCCCACACACACACACCAGGCAGCGTAGGCACTCACACCCCAGGCCCCCCACACACACCAGGCAGCGTAGGGACTCGCACCCCAGACCCCACACACACACACACCAGGCAGCGTAGGGACTCACACCCCAGGCCCCCCCACACACACACCAGGCAGCGTAGGGACTCACACCCCAGGCCCACACACACACACACCAGGCAGCGTAGGGACTCGCACCCCAGGCCCCCACACACACACTAGGCAGCGTAGGGACTCGCACCCCAGGCCCCCCCCCACACACACCAGGCAGCGTAGGGACTCACACCCCAGGCCCCCCCCACACACACACCAGGCAGCGTAGGGACTCACACCCCAGGCCCCCCCATACACACCAGGCAGCGTAGGGGCTCACACCCCAGGCCCCCCACACACACACCAGGCAGCGTAGGGACTCGCACCCCAGGCCCCACACACACACCAGGCAGCGTAGGGACTCGCACCCCAGGCCCCACACACACACCAGGCAGCGTAGGGACTCACACCCCAGGCCCCCCCACACACACCAGGCAGCGTAGGGACTCGCACCCCAGGCCCCCACACACCCACACCAGGCAGCGTAGGGACTCACACCCCAGGCCCCCCACACACACACCAGGCAGCGTAGGGACTCGCACCCCAGGCCCCCACACACACACCAGGCAGCGTAGGCACTCACACCCCAGGCCCCCCACACACACCAGGCAGCGTAGGGACTCGCACCCCAGGCCCCCCCCCCCACACACACACCAGGCAACGCACACCAGGCAGCGTAGGGACTCGCACCCCACACACACACCAGGCAGCGTAGGGACTCACACCCCAGGCCCACACACACACACACACCAGGCAGCGTAGGGACTCACACCCCAGGCCCCCCACACACACCAGGCAGCGTAGGGACTCACACCCCCCCCACACACACACACCAGGCAGCGTAGGGACTCACACCCCACACACACACCAGACAGCGTAGGGACTCACACCCCACACACACACCAGGCAGCGTAGGGACTCGCACCCCAGACCCCACACACACACACCAGGCAGCGTAGGGACTCGCACCCCACACACACACCAGGCAGCGTAGGGACTCACACCCCACACACACACCAGGCATCGATCGGCCCCTGAGCGGCTCCTTCACCTGCCATGTAGCCACGCTCCTCGCCCCACGTGCTGCTTGCCTGTTTATTCTCTCTTCACTTCTGACTCATTTTAACTGGACAAATTTAGTAGTGTATGTGTGTCTGTGTGTGTGTCTGTGTGTCTGTGCACGCGCACGCACGTGCAAGTATGATTGCCAGGACTGGGACTTGAATTTAGAGCCTTGATCCCTTACTTGGCTTTTTTTTTTGCCAGTCCTGACTCTTGAACTCAGGGACTGGGCACTGTCCCTGAACTTCTTTTGCTTAAGGTGAGCACTCTACCACTTGAGTCACAGCGCCACTCCTGGCTTTTTCTGTTTATGAGGTACTGAGGAATCGAACCCAGGGCTTCATGCATGCTAGGCAAGCGCTCTACCACTAGCCACCTTCCCAGCCCCTTACATGACTTTTTTGCTCAAGGCTAGTGCCCTACCATTTGAGCCTCAGCTCTGCTTATGGCTTTTTTGGTGGTTCATTGGCAATAAGAGTCTCATGGACTTTCCTGCCCAGTCTGGCTTCAAACTGTAATCCACAGATCTCAGCCTCCTGACTAGCTAGGATTCCAGGTGTGAGCCACGGGTGCCTGGCAAATTTAGTATTTTCCAAGAACCAACTTTTTACTTCCTTGACCTACTGTTTCTGTTCTATTTCACTTTATTGCTCATGTTCCCATCTTTGGAGATGCTCTCTTTTCTAGACAATCCCTGAAGGCTGTGTGTTTCTAGTGACTTCAGCAGCAGCAGCAGCAGAGCTGAGCTGCACCGGCGCCATCTCTGGCACTCTGTGCTATCTGCCATCCCTCGCTTGGTCCAGTGGATTATCTCATGACTGTTTTCCAACTTCTCAGACCTGGGAGGGTCCTGGGTCCCTTAGTCAGGAAGCCTGATGCAGAGTAGGAGCAGGGTCCTAGTTGGAATAGAATTCCTGTCTCTGTGTTTCCGTTTTCTTTCGTGTTGCTTTTTCTTCATATCTCTTGGATGATTAAAGAAAAGACTTCCCATTCCATCCTAGATTCTTGATTGTTTTCAAAATGGTCAGAGCAGCACTTTGTGGTGGGAGCATAGTGAGCTATGTGTTCGACGCCAGTGTTTCTAGAAGCCATTGTAAAAACCTAAAACAGAAGTCCAGGATGGAGCTCAGTGGCAGACTGCTCGTCCGGCATGCAGGAGCGTTCCTCACTGGATCCACCCCAGCACCGAGGAACCAGCAGAAATGTATTTATTTAAGCAGTTTAGCGCATCAGCATTTCCACACACCATCAGTGGAGAGCTAGCAGTGCTGCCACGTCTCAGGCGCTCAGCCGCCACCACCACCATGTCCCCACAGCACCTGGCAGCACCTTCCATTCACCTGTTCACACCCACACCCCTGTCCCGGCACTAGGTGGCGCCACTGTGCCTGGGGCAGGGAACCTCAGGTCCTGTGTCACCAGCTGGGCTCAAACTACGTGGGGACAGGGGGCCCTCTGGCCTGAGTCTGCCTCCCAGGGGCACTTGGGGTCAGCCACGTCCCAGGAACAGAGCGGTAATGGCCCTGAACATGAGGCCGGAACGGGCAGGGGTTCCAGCCGGGTGGGCCTATGGCCTGAGAGGAGGTGGCTTGGAGATGGTAAGTGATTTCTAGTTTGAGCGAGTCTTCACCACGATGGGCACAAGAGCGGCTTTGGCACTGGCTGGCTTGGAGTTTGGGGGGCTGGGGCTCCTGTCACCCAGCCTGATGGGACAGCAGCTGGGGGCCGAGCCCAGCTGCGGGCAGGAGGCACAGCTCCCCTGGAAAGCCTCCTGTGGGACGGCCGTACAGGACGGGGCACTCTGACGGCACCAGGAAGAGGCTTCTGGAATCCCGTGGCCTGGCAGGCAGAGGTGGGGCCAAGCACTGCCTGGGACACCTGCCGTCTGACACGGGCCACTCCTCCTCCCCCTCAGTGGGTATAATTAGCCTCATGACAGGTGCCATGGATCGAGTGCCTGGCCCGGCCTCAGCTGACCCGCTGCACCCACCAGTCCCGCCTCTGGGCCCGAACCCCAGTCTGCAAGGTCCCCTGAGGCCTCAGGCCCTAATTAACTTCCTCCAAACTCCTGAAACACTTACCAGGATGGATGGGCCATCAGCGCTTCCCTGGCCACAGGTCTCAGGAGCCCCAGGCCGGCCACCCCTGCCGTGCGTGCCGGGGGCCAGCGGGCCTCTGCCGTCCCCACCGCAGCCCCAGCGCCGCCCTGTCCCCAGCTGTGTCTCTTCCTCCTCCAGTGCAAGAAGAAGCACACACTGCTGTGCCCAGACTTCGCTCGCAGCGGCGTGTGTCCCCACGGCGCCCAGTGCCAGTTGCTCCACCGGAACCAGAAGTGCCCTGGCCGCCGGGCCACCGCACCCCCTACCCCTGCCCACAGCGACGGCGTCCCAAGGAGCAGGGCCTCGTCCGGCCACGGATCCAGGTGGTGGGGCAGTGGGTGTGCGTGGGTGAGCTCGGGCTGGCCATCCCCCAGCACGCCGGGCTTCACGTCTAAAAGGATCCACAGAGGTGAAGGATGTAGCTCTCGGAAGAGCACTGGCCTAGCAAGGCGAGGCCCTGAGTTTGGTCCTCACCACCAAAAAAAAAAAAAAACCTGAAAGGAAGTGTTAATTGTACAAGCCTGGCACCAGTGGCTCACACTGTCATCCTAGCTACTCAGGAGGCTGAGATCTGAGGATCGCCGTTCAAAGCCAGCTGGGCAGGAAAGTCCGTGAGAGTCTTTTCTCCAATAAACCACCAGAAAACTGGAAGTGGCGCTGTGGCTCAAAATAGTAGAGCACTTGCCTTGAGCACAAAAACTCAGGGACAATGTCCAGGTTCTGAGTTCAAGCTCCAGGACTGGCAAAAATAAAAAGAAAGTCAGAGGTGGAGATGCCCATCCCTGCCCACTTGCATGCCTGGAGCCAGGTGAGGAGCACCCACAGTCCAAGACTAGCAGAGCCAAGGCATCAGCAACCCATGGAGGGAGGCGGGAGCTTTCCACGGTCCCTTCCCAACAGAGAAGGAAGCCTGGGAGGACTTAAAGGGGCTGCCGGTTCTGGCCGCCCGGTTCAGCCCCTCAGCCGAAGCTCGGGCCCAGAGCTGGGCTTGGCCTTGGGCAGCGGTGCCTGGGGGCAGGTGGGGGCCAGGGACGCCGCGTCCCGCAGCCTTCCCGAAGGTCAGCGCCCTCACGTCTGTCCTCTCTGCTTTCCTGCAGGAAGTCCTCCGCTACTCAGCGCCCTGCCAGGCAGACGCCCAGTTCCCCGGCCCCCCGGGCACTGACCCCGGCTTCTAGGGCCCTCGCCTCGGCCTCCTTGTCATCAAAGGCCGCCGCCTCCTCCTCCCCCTCCTCCGGCTCCCCCTCCCTGTCATTGGGGCCGGAGGAGCCGAGCCTCCTCCAGGAGGAGGCCTCTGCTGTGGGCAGCCTCTGCAGACTGCCTTCCTTCATCTCCCTGCAGTCTTCCCCGAGCCCAGGCGCTCACGCCAGGCCTCAGACCCCCAGGAGCCCCGCTGCCAAGGACTCAGGTGAGAGCCGGTCTCTGCGAGGCCCACCAGCACCACACACGGCTTTACTTAATGTTTTCTCTTTGAGCAGTAGCAGGGTCTGAACTTGGAACCCTGGGTTTGCTAATAAGCAGGCTCTGCTGTTTGAGTTCTCAACTAGTCACTTTCTGCATTGCTGCTTTTCTTTTCTTTTTTTTTTAAATTTGGTGCCAGTCCTGGGGATTGAACTCAGGGCCTGGGCACTGTCCCTGAGCTCTTTTGCTCAAGCCTAGAGCTCTACCACTTGACCACAGCTCCACGTTAGCTCTTTTGGTGATTAGTTAGAAATAAGTCTCACTGACTCTGCTGCCCAGGCTGGCGTGGAGCTGTGCCCCTCAGACCTCAGCCTCCCGAGTCACTAGGATGACGAGCGTGAGCCACCAGCGCCGGCTTGCAGCGGTTATCTCAAAACAAGGTCTCACTTTATACCTGGGCTGGCCTGGACTCTAATCCCAGCCGTTGTTGAAATAAAGTCTTGCACACTTTTATGCCCAGGCTGGCCTCAAGCCATGATCCCCTGATTTCCCCTTACAGGCAACTAGGATTATAGGCCTGGCCACAGAGCCCAGACGCAGGAGTCTTTAAATGCCCACCTCAGACCTTCCAAGTAGGGCCTGCAGGTGGCCTGGTGACTCAGGGCACACGTGTGCACACACCTGTGGGGGGCGGGCCAGTGAGGGGCACGTGGAGCAGTGGCTGCCGCGCAGACCACCCCAGTGAGGGCTGATTTAATTAGAAAGCACCCATTTCTGTTAATTTGTTCTGGAAGAGCACCGCGCACTCCTGGAGAGAACAGATGTTCCCTCTCCCCGATGAGCGTTTGGGGCTTGGTAAATGGCTCCACTCAGCCTTGTTTAGGAGAGAAAAGAGGATTTTATGGCTGCAAACGACCCTTTCTGTAAACATTTTACAGCTCTCCGCGTGTTTGAGTGACGATAAACCCCACGCAGCTCGGCGGGCTGCAAATTTGCGACCATACGGCTATCATTTTATTGTCATATTTCACGGTCGTAACGTTAATGGAAGATGCTGCAGGGTTCTCTAGCGGCCGCTCTCGATCAGGCGCCAGTTCCGAGGGGCCGCCTCCTGCTGGCAGCCTCCTCCGGGGTGCGGAGCTGCAGCCAGGCCGCACTGGACGGGCTGGACTGGCCGGAGCGCCAGCTCCTCCCATCCAGTGGAGCACAGCAGCTGAGGGTCTGAAGCGCTGCTGCGTGTGGAAGATGAGAAACCCAGCAGCTAGGCCCAGAGCAGGGGGGCGCAGAGGTGTGCCGTCCCGTGTGGGTGCCCCGGCAAGCTGGTGAGGCCACTAGAACCGGCGCCGGCCTGGCCAGAGGAGACTGGAGGGCGGGAAGCCGGGCTGTGTCTTTGTACGTAGTTCCTGGCACAGAGGAAGGCGTGGGCAGGAACCGGCCAGCCTGAGCCTGGCCTGTCCCGGCAGAGCAGCCCCTTGCCCCTCGGAGGAGGGTCTTACGGGGAGATGGAGTGGCACCGTGATGTGGCAGCCCCTCTGACGTAGCCGTGCCAGCAGGATGCTGTGGCTCCTGGGAGGGTGGCGGTGGCGGGAAGGGGTCGGGGGGAGGAGGGGGTGTCTCCCTGGGGCCCTGCTCGCCAGGGTCCTGCTCCAGGATCCTCCCCGCCACCCTGTCTGCCTCTGTGCAGCCTCGCCCTGCCAGCCCCCTGCGCATACAACCTGCCTCCCAGATGGAGGGCATGGCGCCTGCTCCCGTGCGTCTGGCAGCCTTGCTCCAGGTGTGAGCACCCTGCGTGCCCGTGTGCTCCACGCTGCTCCCCTCCCCCATGCCAGCCTTGCTCCCGGTGTGAGCACCCGCGTGCCCGTGTGCTCCATGCAGGGCTGCGCCCAGGCAGGCCCCAGGCCGCCTGTCCTTTTCCAGGGCCTGGGTATGGTGGCGCTACAGACAGGCAGCTCTCGGGCCCACAGCCAGGAACGGCCACGGAAGGCCCCACCCCAGCCTGGCGTCCCTGTATCTGACCTCTGCCTTCTCCGTACAGGGAGACCACTGCACATCAAACCACGGCTGTGAGGCCTTGGGACCAGCTTGCACCTACCTCAGACCTTCGCGCTGGACAGGACGGAGGCTCTGCCCCCACGGGGGCTGTCCACCCCGGCTGGGTGCCCACACCAGGCCGCAGCACTGCCCACCCGGCTCTGGACCTTCTTTAACCTGTGTGCACCTAGGGCTCTTGCCCTGCCCTGGCCAGGCTCCCAGCCTCCCCTCCCTCTGGGCCTACGGCTTCACATCCAGGACTTGCTCCCTACCTTGTCCCTTGGGGTGCCAGGCAGGCCTCACCCCAGCCTGTTCTCTGCCATGACTGTGGCATCAGCTGTAAGACAGGTATCCCCAGCCTTCCCCACCCAGGACTCCTGCCAGGAGGGGAGGCCGCCAGCCAGGCCCCTGTGGTGGGCATTTTACATTCAGCAATAAATGTTATCCTGTGTCTGATTGGCCCTTCCTGACCCTTGCCACGCCTCAGGCCCTGGACCTATGCGGAGCATGGCCAGCCAGAAGACACGGCCTTCCGCAGCGCAGGGGCCTGCCCCCCCGCCCCAGGCGGCTCCGAGCCCCAGCCTCGCGCTGTGGCCATCCCCACGCCGTCGGGGCTGCTCGGGGAGGACATGGGGCAGGCCAGGGCAGAAGCGGCGGAGGCCTCGCCGTGAGGGGGAGCTGGACGCCATCATGACTGCCACAGGGGGCTCCAGGAGGCGGGGCTGGAGGGCTGTGTCCGCCCAGCCCCTCTCCTCCTGAGGGTAACTGGCCCGAGGCCCGCAGTGGAGCAGCCAGGAGCCGCCAGCATCCCCCACAGCGCGTGATGCACAGGGCCGCGGTGGTGCTCACCGCCACCCGAGCCGCCCTCATGACTGCCCCATCACCACCGGCCCTCCGCCCGGGCAGGGGAGCGGCGGGCAGGGAGGGGTCCTGTCACCAGCTTGGCAGGGTGGCAGCAGGACTGGCCCGCAGGAGCGGCTGGGGCTATGCGCCGCTTCCTGGGGGCACACGGAGGGGGGAGGTGGGCTTGGTCCCGCGCCAGCCCCGCGAGTCCTCGCCTCGCTCACACTGTGGCCCTTGGGCTCTCCGCGCCTGCCACGGCCTGAGTCCTCAGGAAGGAGGCAGAATCGCGGCCGCCCCTTGGCCACCACCGTCCAGGCGCTCACAGGGAGAGGGCACCCTGCTGCCGCTCGACGGGAGCTGCCACTGGCGGAGCTGGGGGCTCAGCTGCACCCTGACTTGCTCCTGAACATGGGACCCTCAGGGCTGGGGCCGTCAGGAGCCCCCTCCCCCACAGCAAACCCTGACCTCTGTGCCCCAAGCAGAGAGCTTAGCCGCAGGTCCGGTGGCCACATGCTAGGCCCTGGCGGCCCCTGCCCCTGCCCAGTCCTGATAGCTGTAGCTGCCCCTCCGCAGTTGGCCTTGGTTCAGGCTTTCTACGTGGGCCCATCACGCTTGGCGTGGGTGCTCGGGTGGTGGCAGCTGCAGAGGGCGCGGCCGACTGCCTGCTCCCGGTGCAGCCTCTTCACCAAGCAGCAGACAGCCCCCGGCAGCCGCCGCGCACCACGCGCCGCGCACCACGAGGGGCGGGGACGCGCACAGGCTGGGGACCTCTCGCCAAAGCAGCTAGCAGGCAGGCCCAGGAGGGACTGCACTGCCGTCTAAGAAGCTGCAGAGGACTCCTGGTTCACCATTGCCCGGAACTTGCCGGGTGCCTGATGCAGCCCAGCTCTGCCCGGCGCTGGGTTCTCCCGGCACCCACTTGGGGCTCGTGTGGCAGGGGGCAGCGGGCACTGCCCCGGGGCCCGGGAGTCGTCCGTCTCCAGCCCTGCAGGGATCCTGAGGACGTGACAGGCAACCTGGGCCCGTGGAGACCTTCAGTGGGGACTGCCTCACCTCCAGGACAGATGTGGGCTGCCGCAGATCACCAGAGCCATGATGGCTGGGCCGAGGGCTGCGCCTCCCAGGAGGGGCCAGCAGGTGGCCAGGCTCCCTGCCCAGGAGCGAGCGACCGACCGACCGACCCACCAGGCATGCTCCCCCAGCTCATTGCCCGCGGGGGTCCTGAGACCCCAGGCAGAAGCAAGCAGGGGCTCGGCGCTCACTGGAAGCGGGGACTACTGCCTCCCAGAGAGATGGCTACCTGGGGCTGGGACAGGACGGGGAGGGCCCAGGAAATAGGATTGGGGCGGGGGCTGGATCTCAGGACCTGCCCTCACCTGGGAGGGGCAGTGTCCTGGAGGGCTCTGCCTGCCGGTCTCTGGCCGCCCTGTGCCGTCATGCAGACCCCGGCTGAGGTGGCTCAGGGGCCGGAGCCTCACTGGGTCACCAGGCTGGCCTCGTGGGCCCTTTGGGGGGCCTGGCATCCAGATGGCTCCTAAGTGCTGGGGCGGGAGAGGATGGCTGTGGACGCCCCAGAGCCCAGGGGCCACCACTTTTTTATTGTTGCTTGTGGGGCTTGAACTAGGGGACTGGATGCTGTCCCTGAGCTCTTTTGCTCAAGGCTAGCGCTCTGCCACTTTGAGCCACAGCGCCACTTTGGTTTTCAAGCAGTTCATTGGAGACAAGAGTCTCACAGGGACTTTTCTGGCTTTGAACTGTGATCCTCAGCTAGGAGTCTCCTGATGAGCTAGTCTGACAGGCCACTGGCACCCAGCCACCGCTGCCTTTTTCATGTAAACAAGCCCAGGGTGGGTCTGCCTAGAGGGGCGGGGCGCTGGGGCTGGGCAGGCTCCTCAATCCCTTCCCCTTGCTAAGCCCTGGGTTAGTGTGGCTGGACAGCCACAGCCAGCGTGTCTCTGAAATCAAGCGGCCTAAGTGCCTCCCGGGGTCCCGGCGCAGAGCTCTGATGCAGTGTGCAGGGTGATGTTTCTTCTGCTAGACTTCAAGCAGACCATAACCTGTAATACGCCTCTCGTCCTAGCTACCCAGGAGGCTGAGATCTGAGGATAGGGGTTCGAAGCCAGCCTCGGACAGGAAAGTCTGAGACTAGGTAAGTTGGGGCTGAGCGGCTCTGCCTCCCACGTGGGTCTCCACTGTGCGTGGCAGGCAGCAGTTCGGAAATAAACTTTTCCTGCCAGAATACCGCGTGGTGTTCCCGTCATCGGCTACCTAAATGCACACCAACACTGAGTTCAAGGTCCAGGACCACACACGACAGAACTGTGGCAGCTCAGTCCGCCTGTGGCCTGGGCCCTGTGCTGGGGCTGCGTCCCTGAGTGCGGTCCAGTGGCTGGAGACGCTGAGCTCAGGCCCCAGCGAGCAGCGGCCCAGGGCAACGAGGAGGAGGGAGAGCACCGTCCTCCCCACGGCCCAGGCCCCCCCCAGCAGAGCACCCCTCCTTCCCGTGGGCTGCTGAGGCCTGCACGGGAGGAGCGCGACCTGCTCAGGCCAAGAGCCCTAGAGAGGTCTGCAGCGAGAGCTGATGCTGAGCCTGTTCGCTCACAGAATTTGTAGAAAGCCAGCTGAATCCATTGGCTTTTCGAAGCCAAGTTCAGAGCCAAGGGGAAACAGATCCAAACACTGAGCTGCTTCACCGGGGACCCCCAGTCCCAGGCTCATCCCACACTGCTGTGGCGAGGAGCCAGAGCCCCAGCGCTGCCCCTCCTGCTCCCCCCTGCGCTGGGCACCCCGGTCGGTCCTCACTGTCCGCAGGGCCGCAGGGCTCTCCCCTCCTTCCCTGACTCTCTCCATGTGCCAGGCAGGCCTGCACCAGCTGCTCCCTCTGCCTGGGGGCTCTTGTGCCAGCACGCACGCATGTGTGTGCACATGCACACCCACACCCATATACTGCCGCGGATGCGTGAAGGGTGGCGGCGTCTGACAGGGCTGGGCCCAGTGTGCTCAAACATCCATTTTACAGCCCTTGGAAGCCTGGAAGTGGGTCCTGGTGGGCTGGGTGGCCACTAGAGGCTGCCCAGCCTCACAGCACGTGCTGGGACATCTCCTGGCAAGAAGAGGCACTGAGCTCCCGAGAGCCACCGAGCCTGGGCATAGTCTGGGGCTGTCCCTTGGCCTGGGGCCAGAAGCTTGGCCCCCCTAGGAATGTATTCACTGGCTGAGAGCAGCCGGAAGCTCTTCCAGCCCTCCCTCCCTAGCCCTCCCTCCCCAGCCGCCCCCAGCAGCGGCCTAGAAGATAGGTCACACCACACCTGGTGTCCTTCCCAGGACTGGGGGTCATGCGGGGTCCTCCAGGCCTGTCCCTGAGCTGCTTTTGCTCAAGGCTAGCGCTCTACCACATGAGCCACAGCACCACTTCCGGATTTTTTCTTTTTGCCTATGTGGTGCTGAGGAATCGAACCCAGGGCCTCAGGCATGCAAGGCAAGCACTCTACCACTGAGCCACCTTCCCAGCCCCCGGCTCACTTTATCTTGATTGTGTGTGTGTGTGTGTCACAAGTACTGAGGCTGGAAGTCAAGGCCTGGGCACTGTCCCTTAGCTTTTTCACTCAAGGCACTGTACCATTTGAGCCAAATCTCCACTTCTGTGTTTGTTGTTTAGTTGGAGATGAGACTCTCTTGGATTTGTCTGCCGGGGCTGCCTTCAAATGGAGGTCCTCAGATCTCAGCCTCCAGAGTAGCTGGAATTACAGGCGCGAGCCGCCAGCGGGAGGGAGGCTGGGCTGCCGGCCTCCGCCTCGTGCCTCTAGGTGCCACGGACGGCGGCGCGGCAGGTGGCTGCTACGCTGCCCAGCCTCTGAGACGACGTCTCTGGAACCTTCCTTCCCGGCTGGCTCCAGCCCGCCCTCCCGGCTCCACCTCCGTCTCCCAGGTAGCGGGGATCACAGCTGGAGCCGACCTCCCCGGCCCCGTGTTAAACCCATCGCAGTCACGCAGCCGCGCCGAGAACGCCGGCAGGCCGGCGGGCCCCGGCCGGGCGCACGGGTCAGGCCGGCCCCGGCGGAGGCGGGCCCGGAGGGCGCCGCGCTGGCCCCGCGCTGGCCCCGCGCTGGCCCGAGGTGCCAGCAACTCCGTGGACGGAATCCCCGCCCCCGCCCCGCCGCCGGCTAAAAATAACGCGCCCCGAGGCCCGCGTCCCGCCCGGGCCCCGCCGCGGGCTCGGGGCTCCGGAGACGGAGGCGCGCGGCCACCGGGCGGGCTCTGCTCCGGGACCCCGCGCCCGGAGGCCGGCCTGGCGGCGGCGGGGCCCGCCCCGCGCGCGCGCGGGCCCGGCTCCGTGCAGTCCCCCGCGGCTGCCACCAGGGGGCCCCGACAACTTTGCTCGCCAGCGGCCCTTCCGCACCTCTTCCCACAGCTGTTTCCCGCAGGAGATTGACAGCTGGGCTCCGGGTTGCCATGGGGATAGGCAAATGAGGGCGGCGGGGCTGGGGCTCCGATTGGCCCGGGGGCGCGCACCCCCTCCCGGGGAGGCGGGCTCCGGCGCCGGGCTCTATAAAGGCGGGCGTCCGCTCGGCGCCGGGCCGTGGGAGGCGGGGCCGGCCGGCGGCGCGGGCGGGGCTCGGGGCGGGGCAGGAAAGCCCGAGGCGCGGCCCGGCCGCCACCGGCCGGGCGGGAACGCGGAGGAACCGCACTCGGAGGCGGTGCAGGGGGGGCGGGGGGGGGTCCCGCGCCCGCGGGGAGCGGGCCCGGGGTCGCCCGGGAGGCCCGGCTGGCGGCGGCGCCGCTGTGCCGCCTCGTACTCGGTGGCGCCAAACTTTTGCCGGTGACCCTCGGCCCTGCGCCCGCCCCGGCCCGGCCCGCGGCGCGCGGGGAGCCCGGGGCGGGGGGGAGGCCCGCGACCCCCCTCCCCCCCGCCGCCCGGGCGATGGCCGCGGAGCTGGCGATGGGCGCCGAGCTGCCCGGCAGCCCCCTGGCCATCGAGTACGTGAACGACTTTGACCTGATGAAGTTCGAGGTGAAGAAGGAGCCGCCCGAGGCCGAGCGCTTCTGCCACCGCCTGCCGCCCGGCTCCCTGTCCTCGACGCCGCTCAGCACGCCCTGCTCCTCCGTGCCCTCCTCGCCCAGCTTCTGCGCGCCCAGCCCGGGCACCGGCGCGGGCGGCGGCGGCGGCGGCGGCGCGGCTCCGGCCGGGGGCGCCCCGGGACCGCCGCCCGGGGGCCCCGGCGCCGTCGGGGGCGCCCCGGGGAAGCCGGCGCTGGAGGATCTGTACTGGATGAGCGGGTACCAGCACCCCCTGAACCCCGAGGCGCTCCACCTGACGCCCGAGGACGCGGTGGAGGCGCTCATCGGCAGCGGGCACCACGGCGCGCACCACGGCGCGCACCACCCCGCGGCCGCCGCGGCCTACGAGGCCTTCCGGGGCCCGGGCTTCCCGGGCGGCGGCGGCGGCGGCGGCGGCGCGGACGACGCGGGCGCCGGCCACCACCACGGCGCGCACCACGGCGCGCACCACCACCACCACCACCACCACCACCACCACGCGGCCGGCCACCACCACGGGCACGGGCACGGGCACGGCGGCGCGGGCGGCGCGGGCCCGCACGTGCGCCTGGAGGAGCGCTTCTCCGACGACCAGCTGGTGTCCATGTCGGTGCGGGAGCTGAACCGGCAGCTCCGCGGCTTCAGCAAGGAGGAGGTGATCCGGCTGAAGCAGAAGCGGCGCACGCTCAAGAACCGCGGCTACGCGCAGTCGTGCCGCTTCAAGCGCGTGCAGCAACGGCACATCCTGGAGAGCGAGAAGTGCCAGCTGCAGGGCCAGGTGGAGCAGCTGAAGCTGGAGGTGGGGCGCCTGGCCAAGGAGCGGGACCTGTACAAGGAGAAATACGAGAAGCTGGCGGGCCGGGGCGGGCCTGGCTTCCCGCGGGAGGCCTCGCCGCCGCAGGCCGGCCCGGGCGCGGCCAAGGCCTCGGCCGACTTCTTCCTGTGAGCGCCGCCGGGCCGGGGCCGCACGCCGCGCCCTCCCCGCGAGCCCCGCCGCGCGGCCCCGCACGTCCCCCGGACGCCCGCGCAGGCCGGGCCGGGCCGGTCCCGCGCGCTCCCGGTCGCCGCCGTCCGTCCTCGCGCGCGCTCCGCGCCAGCCCTCACCACGGCACGCGACCGCGGGGACTTACGTCGGGCGGGCGGGTCCGGGGCCGCCGCGGCCCGTCCTTCCCCGCGCTCCAGCTCCCGGTTCGTTCGTTCACTCCCGCTCCTCCCGGGACAGGCGGCCGTGCGCTCGAAACGTTTTAACGACCGCGCCCGGCGACTGGGAGGAAGGACTGGGGCACGCCGGCGCCCGGCCGGCTCCCCGCCGCATGCGTCGCCCGCCCGCCCGCCCCAGGGGCCGCGGTCCCCCGCCCGCGCCCGCCCCGCGTCCCCGGCCAGAGCCCGCGGGCGGCCGGCGGGGCGGCGCTGCCCGGCCCGAGCCGCGGTTTCTCCATGCACCAGATCCTGTTTATGACCCCGGGAAGGATCTTATTTTAGTCGTCGGGAGAGGAGCAGTGCACAGTATCTAGACGTGTTCAAAGAGGAGGCTTGGGTCCGCACCTCCTGGCATGGGCGACGGGGAAATGGTTTGAATTGTGTTTCATTCTGTTCGTAGAATTTGTTTTTAAGCGTGGCTCATCACTTTTTGGACTAGCCAGGGAGCACGGGTCAGAGGTGAGTGCTGCACCTCTGAACGCCTCGACCCCCTCGACCGCTGGCCCGGTGGCTCATCTGGCTTCAGAGGGGTCGGGAAGGGCACCAGGGACTCGGCCCCCAGTGCTCCGGGCCCCGCTCTGGCGGGAGACGGAAAGTTTTGTTGTGTTGTTGGTTTTCGTTGCACTGTTTTCATTTGCTACGAGACTGAAGAAAAGGAAAAAAACATATTAAAATGAAATAAATCCGTTAAGATGCAAACGTCCCTGGAGCCTGGCTGGTATATCTGCGGCTCTCTGAACCAAGCTGCTGCAGTGGGAAAAACAGGTCCGGTGCTAGGCACAGTGGCATCACCCGGGGCCTCTGCCCTGGGGCGGCCCTAGGGAAGCAACCCCAGCTCAGGTGCCAGACCCCAGCTAGATATTCTAAGCCTCACCCACACCCAAGGGTGACCCTGCCTCTGGCCTCTGAAGGGTGGGGGCATGGAAGGAAAGCTCACCCCTGGAGGGGCATGGCTGCTTGGCTTTAGGGGCCTTCTCTCCTTTGCCAGTGAAGGGGCCCGATGTGGGTTTTGTTCACAGCCACTGTCCACCCTCCCTCCTGCGTGCCCGGCCCTGCTTTGCTCTGTGGGAACTCGGCAGGTGCGGGCGGAGTTCTGAAGTTTGAGTTTGTTTTATGTTTGTCTTGATCCCAGGTCTCCAGAAAGCCGTTCTGTGCGCCTCTCAGCTTTCAAGGAGGCTCCGGGAGACTTTTGCTCTTTGTAGGCTGAGCAAAATCCCAGGATCTGAGCCGGTGGTGAGCCTCCATCTGTGCCAGGAAAAAAACAGTTCAGAGTTGAGGGGACTAATGCTGGGGAGCTTTGCGCAACACGGGCTGCGCATCATTGCAGGGCTTTGCTGCTGGGCCGGTGATGCCCCAGAGGGGCGGAGTGTGGCACCTTCCTGGCTGAGGGCTGCTGGCTCCGCTGGCTTTGGCAGCCGCCAGTCCTAGTCTAAATCAAAGGGTGGGGGACGCGGGACGCCTCAGCCTCTGCTGTCACTGCCCACTGAGCCTTGGCAAGCCTTCCTCCCGGCCCGGCCCGGGGCCATCCCGCTGACTGCACTGTCTTGTGAGTGAGGAAGGGTGGCTGTGAGGCTGCCCAGAGCCTCGGCCAGGCGGCCAGGCCCCGGGCCGGGCGCTCAGTGCTCCACCAGGGGCCAGGATCGCCTCACAACTCCTGCCCGCTTCTCCCAGGGCCTGCTGGGAGGTGCTGGGTTGGCTTTTGCTTTCCCCTTCCCTTTCCCTCCCTCCGTCCCTCCTCCTTCCCTTCCTTCTGTTCCCCAGGACACAGGTGGGCAGTGCGGGTGGCAGGGGACCCTTAGGGGGCAAAAGGACCGCTGAGGGGATTCCACACACAATGCTTTCCTAGGAATGATTTTGGGGACCCTGAGACCCTGTGGGGAGACACCCTTTGCGCAAAGCCCTCGTCCTGCCTGAGTGGGACCGTGCCCCTCCCCCCAGCCCTGCCCCCGGGCAGGCCAGGCTGCACCTGCACCCCGCGTGGCTGGTGGCATGGGGTGTATAGTCCAGTGGTGGCACGGGACCGCGGTGCTCAGGCCCAACTGGGGACAGGGGCGGGGTCAGGGAGGCCTTCAGAAGCCTGAGGACAGCGCCCGCACCTCCTGCCTGGGATGCTGACCTGGACCAGCACAGGACGGGGAGGGGGAATGGGAGCCAGCTGCCGCCAGATGGCCAGGTATGAGCACGAGGGAGTGAGTGTGCAGCCAGACGGGATGGGGTACCTGTCCAAACTGGGGTGACCCCAGCTCTGCGCAGGAGCGGCAGGGGGCAGCGTGAGCGACAGGACGCTCTGACCCTCACCCCCACACCATCCCTCCGCGGAGCCCCAGCACCCAAGGCTGGGGGGACATCCTGATGAGGCTGCCTGGGGCCCGCAGGGCCAGCTTGGCCCCGCAGCCTCCACATCCCAGACCCCTCACGCCCCTCCCACCTCCTGGGAGACCAGGGGAAGAAGGGAGAGGTGGTAGCTGCCTCCCAGAAGGAGCCACACTAGAGCTGGGGTGTCCCCAGCGGCTCCCACTGGGCCATCTTGGGGTCAGGACACAGTCCAGCTGCCCAAACCCGCTTGCGCCAGGCCATAAACTGCAAAAGCCTGAAAGTCTGGATGCAGAGGTGCTGAGCTGAGGCTGGCCCCCCGCCCTATCCTGGCGTACCCACCCCTCGGGCTGCTAGCCTCTCCCCCACCAGCTCCGACCCACAGAGCATAGCGGCTCCTGTTTATAGCTGACTGACGCGCGCGTGTGAGCGTGGACGGACGCCTCTGTAGAGACAAGTGCACAGACCCACATGTGCAGGGAGACACACCACGCGGGCGTGCAGCGCACACCACACCCACACCCACCTGCGAGAGGCTGAGATTCTTTTTTGGTTGGTCTGGGCCTGGGCGCTGTCCCTCAGCTCTTCAGCTCAAGGCTAGCACTCTACCACTTTGAGCCACAGTGCCACTTCGTTTTCTGGTGAATTGGAGTTAAAAGTCTCAAGACCTTTCTTGCTCAGGCTGGCTTTGAACCACGATCCTCAAATCTCAGCCTCCCATGAGTAGCTAGGATTACAGGCGTGAGCTACCAGTACTCAGCCTTGTAAGACTCATCACTTCCAGCCAACTCTCAAAAGCTGGGTGTGGCACTGTGGATGGAGTGTAAGAGCACTTGCAAAAAAAGAAGGAAAAGGGGCTGGGAAGGTGGCTCAGTGGTAGAGCGCTTGCTTCGCATGCATGAGGCCCTGGATTCAATTCCTCAGCACCACATAATCAAAAAGAAAAAAGCCAGAAGTGGTGCTGTGGCTCAAGTGGTAGAGCACTCGCCTTGAGCTGAAGAGCTGAGGGACAGCGCCCAGGCCCAGAGTTCAGGCCCCACAACCAAAAGAAAAAAGAAAAAAAGAAGGAAAATAAAAGACCTCCTGTCTCCTGCCTGGGCTCTGGAAGCTTTGAAGGGCTCCTGCAGGTGGAGGGGGGGAGGGGGCGGGTGGGGGGGAGGGGCGGGGGGGCGGGGGGGCAGCGCTCCCTCCTTGCCCACCCTCCCCTCGCCAGGCTCCTGGGGACACAGAACCAGGACGGGCCAGGGAGGCCCTGCATGTGCAGCCTGGGCATTGGGAACCCGCTCTCCGAGGGTTCAGGCAGGAGGAGTCAGATGGGACGGCAGGATGGGAGGCACGGGCTCCTTCCCCTCACGCTCTGCCTCTGGGGAGCGGCACCAGAAAGCTCTGATAGGGAGGCGAGAGAGGCGGGAGGGAGGATTTATCTGCTGTCAGCTGAGCACCGCGTGTGCAGGTGGCTCTTGAATGGGGACCTAAGGTCTGAAGGTGTTGATTTGAGCAGGAGCAGCAATGATGGGGCCGGGGGAGGGGGGTTAGGTCTCATCAGGGTCTGGGCCGGGGAGTGAGACCTGGGAAGGACTTCCCCTGGCAGGCACTTTCCGGGAGGAGGGAGCTCACGGAAGTGGAGGGGGCCGGTGAAGGACGTCCCACCAATGCCCTGTTCTGGTGGCTGCTGGGGGGGGGGGGGCGTCCAGCGGGGCAGGCGTCCAGCGGGGCAGGGGTGCAGCGGGGCAGGGGTGGGGTGCAGTGGGGCAGGGAGCAGGACGGGAGCAGGTGGCAATGTTTGGGGAACCTGAGCCCGGCCCTGAGCCTGTGGGCTGAGCTGGGGAGGAAGGTGGCCGAGCAGCCAGCTGGCGGGACAGGGTTGGGTCCAGCCCAGCCCTGGCGCTTGGGTGTCTTGGGTCTCCCTACAGAGCCTGGAATGTCTCTAGGGTCTCAGAATGGGTGCAGAGGGGAGGCCGGCCGGCTGGGGGGGCAGGGCGAGTTGGTGGGGGGCTGGGGGAAAGGCGCGCAGCTACGGGGAGGGGCTGAGTCCACCGGGACTGAGAGAGGGGAAGGAAGAGTTGTGCGCTGGGCCTGGTGGGCACGCAGGCGGGCACAGGAGCCGGGAGCGGCGGCTGCAGGCTCAGCGCCTGCCTAGTTTACAGGGATCCCCCCCACAACCCCCCAATAGCCCCCCTACAGCCCCCCCACAGCCCCCCCTCCATCCCTCCCACCGTCCCAAGCACATCCCTGACCACCTCCCAGGTCGCCTGTGCCACCCCAGGGTCCTTGCCCGCCCAGGACACTCAGCCCAGGCAGCACTGACACCAGCCTTGGCTTCTTCCCCCTCGCCTGGCCTCCAGCTCCCCAGAGGGGAGGGGGGCTCACCCCTGCTGCGCATCTGCATCTGCTCTCTTCCTTGTTGTCCTGAGCTGGCACCCCTCACCTGTG